AGGAAATGTTAATTACGAACCATGATTATTGTAAAGGGAACTTTACAGCTTGCACTATCAAGTTTCAGGAGAAGTACTGAAACCCGGAAGATACATAATCATGTATATTTATTATTACATCTGAACAAATTTCAGTAGATGAAGCTGCTATACAATTTGCATGTTTTGCAACAAATATTGCCATGTATGACGAAATATTATTAAACCGCAATCATTACTAACCTGTATATAACATACAATTCCTATTTCTAAATATATATCCATATAATATATATGTAGTGCTTCTTATGTATAACTATTGAGGTCAAATTTTGTAACTCATTTCTCATCATACACATATCACCACGTTTCTCAGAGAAAATGGCTTATCATAAAATTAGCATATGGAATCAGCCGAGAGCTTCCGACAGCTCGTGGGCCCGACAGGTAGTCTGACGAGTCTCCAGCGGATGGCAAGCCATTTATCGTGTCCATGACTTCCCATATCAAGGAATGACCTAAAAGAACAACTCCAACACATCAGAATCAAGCCGCGAGCTTCGAACATCTCACGGGTCACAACCTGATGGACCGGCAGCTTGTCCGGCGAGCTGCCTGAATTGCCTGGGTGACTTGGTGCCCAAGTTACCAGATAAGGATCAGATTATGAATGAGATTATCTCACTAAATCTCAGGAAATCTCATTTAAACGATAATATCTCCTCTAGAAATGGGATCATCTCAATCTTAATTAAAATATTCAAACTTCAGGCTTATCCACAGGATATCTCCTATTATAATTCAAATAGAAGATGCCACCAAACTGCATTCTGAGCCTCCTGCACATATTCCAAGGCACCCCGGAGCATATTTAGCGGTGCTCTAGGCTTATTTTTCCTTATTTTCTCTATTATTCTCCCGAATTCTCCTTTTCTCTTCCCGCTTTTCTCTCTACAAGTATTGTAATTTTTATCAATTATAATGAAAGCCTCGTCCAAATCCAATTACAGAAATCACCCTCTACAATAACTGTGACTGATGTAATGCTAAATCTATCCATTGTCTAGCTATATCGGGTATTTTCTTGATAAAACTCATCATAAATCAACAGTAATATTGTCTATATATCTCTAATATAGTTATTCTTTTTTCAATAAATCAGGCAAGTATATTAAGTGTCAACAAGGGATTTCGAAGGACCAAAGTCTGCGCCACCTCTAGGCAAGTTTCCAAACTTTCGGCCCCATGAGGGAGTGCCCGAGCGATATGATGGGAGTTACTCTGATGATTGTTCAACGTGCTCGCTTTTTGGGAGGGAACAACAATGCTTGGGGGGGGGGGGGGGGGGCTTCGTCTTCATTCCTCGTTT